TAGAACCCACAGGCACAGACGTCCGCCCGTGGCTCCTCCTTTCTGGCCTTTGGGAGCCTGGGCGTCTGCCTAAACTGGATAATTTTGCCAAGACCTTTTCAGGGTGGGGGTGTCGGCTGAGTGCTCTGAGATCAGACCAGCCGTTTCCCTCCCTGTGGGTTTGCACCTGACAGTGAAACTCATTCTGTGGTGCCCTAGAGCCCTGGTGCCCTGGTGCCCTGGGGCCCACAGTTCTACCTGAGGCGGTGAATCAGGAGCATAGCCAGGGATTGCTCTGTGCAGGCACCTAGTTCCCCGGCTCTGGCTCCGGGCTGGCTCCTGGGGCACCCACGGAACCCGAGTCTTTTCCAGGGGATGTCTGGGTGACCTAAGGTCGGTCCCAATCGTTTCCTGTTCCGTGGGTTTATCTCTCGACTGAAAAATCCAGTCTTTGATGTTCTGGGCCCACAGTTCAGTCTGAGACAGTGACCAGATCACGCTGGCGTGTAGCTCTGGGCTGGCGACCAAGTGCCTGGCAGAACCAGGATCTCTTCCACGGTTTAGCCAGGTGAGTTAAAGCTGATTGAATCCCCCACCATGGGGTATCCTCTCACCTGTGAAACACAATCACTTTTGTTTTATGGCCACGAGTTCTGATTGCTGGTCACTGTGCCAATCCTGCTGTGCTGCTGCTCAGAATGAGAGTCCTCCTGGCGCCACCATCTTGCCCCACCCGTAATATGTTTTTTATTTATTACAATTTATTCACTTTGCATCTCTGCTGTAGCCCCTTCCCAATATGCCCTTCTTTCCCCTTTCCCCCCATGCCCCTCCCACAGTCCACACAGGGGAGGTCCTCCTCCCCTTCCATCTGACTCTAGCCTATCAGGTCTCAGCAGGACTGTCTGCATTGTCTTCCTCCGTGGCCTTCTAAGGCTGCTCCCCACTCCAGAGTAGGTGATCAAAAAGCCAGCCACTGAGTTTATGTCAGAGACTGTCCAGGTTTTCCTTACTAGGGAAGAAAAAGGAATATTTTTAATGTTAATTTAAGTTCATATCCAGTGGAAAGATACCATCACTAATAAAGTTTTAAAGAAATTCTCATTTTTAATATCTTTATAAATCTATTTATTTATTGAAAACAGATTTTTTAATATATCTTCTGATATGGTTTCACATCCTCCAGCTCTGCTCAGTTTCTCCGACATCCCCTTCCATCTGGATCCATACCCTTTCTGTCTTTAATTAAAAGACAAGCAGACATATAAAAATAATAATAAAACAAAATTATATAACACAGAACCCAACAAGTCAGAATAGGCTAAAACAAACAAAAAATAAAAAGAGCCCAAGAAAAAGCACAGGAAACATGCACTCAATCACACACATAGGAAACCCATAAAAACATATAACTAGAAGCCATAGTACAAACACCAAGGAAAAAATACTACTACTAACTGTATTATTGTTATTATACAATTATAAAATATATAAAATTATTATAATAAAAGCTCTGATGTAATGTTAAGAAACAAAGAACCTCAAAAGATGCCTTTGAGTTCATCTTGTGTTTGCCATCTACTACTTGGCTTAATCTTAATAGTAGTTTGCTTTCCCCAGTGAAATTTCTTTGGAGAAAATTAATGGTTATTTGCAAGTAGTTACCAACTGGACATAGATTCTGGGTTAGGGAGGGGTGCTGTGTCTACCTCTCCGTGCAGGAACCCCATCTGGTACAAACCTCTGCAGGCCTCTGCATGCAGCCACTGTTTCTTTAAGTTCATAAATGCTTCAGCCTATGATTTCTTGGTGTTTTTCATCCTCTCTTGCTATTATAATCTTTCTTCTTTCTCTTCTATAGAGTGCTCTGATACCTTAAGGGAGGAGGGAGTTGAGAAGGACATCCCTTTAAGGGCTCTCACTCACTGGGTTTGATCTGACTGCACATCTGCTGCAGGAAGAGACCATTCTAATAATGGATGTGCAAGACACAAATTGATTGAATGTATCAGAATGTGGCCAGGAGTCATTTTATTGCTATCTTTCTTTAACATAGCAGTATTATTTGATTTCTTCTAGTCCCTGGCATAGGTAGGCTTAGGTTTTTAGACTTCCAAATACCACTGGGTATGGACAAATTATATGTAATGGAGTAGACGATACAAATCAGTTATTGATTGGTAAACTTTGTGTCATTATTGTACTTGTATATCTTGCAGAATTATAGTTGTGTTGGTCTTTACCTTTCTCCTTTGGTAGTATGCAGAGTACCTTCTTGTACAATCATTAACAATAGTCTGTGAAGGATCTAGGTAGGTACCAGCTGTCCTCTTCATGCTTAATGACTTAAGTAGGTATTGTCTTCAGCATCAGCCTATAGAGAGCCACTAAAAGGCTTAGCAATAGCCTGGGCTGGGAGGGGACGTCCAGGGGACCGCTTTGGCCAAGAATATGAACTGGAAGCTTCATTTGTTGATTAGATATGTCCAGTTGAGTCTGTTTCTGATGATTTCAGTTAGCTAGCACTCATACATGTATATATATTGTAAAACTTCAACTTATTAAGTTACCATACCAACCCTCAAATGGCCTTAATTTTAGCCATCTTTCCCCATATTCACTTCTTCACCCCCTTCTTTGCTCTCTCTCGCATTAGATCACTCATTACAGTCTACAGCCTCATATATCCATAACTATTTTATTCTCTTCTTCCTAGGTTGATCCATCCCTCTCCCTAGTCCCTTACTCTATACCAAACCCTTGGGTTCTGTGGATTGTAGCTTGCTTATTGAAGACTTAACAGCAATCATCCACATAAAAGCAAATACGTATCATATATCTTTCTGGGACTGGGTTAACATCAGAATGATTTTATGTAGCTCCATCCATTTGCCTTTGAATTTCATAATTTTATTTTCCTAACAAATGAGTAATATTTCGTTGTGTAAGTGTACCACATTTTGTTTATTCATTCAGCCCTTGATGGACATATAGGCTGTTTCCAATTTTTGCTTATTATGAATAAGGAAGAAATGAACACGGTTGAGCACATGTGTCTTTGTAGAAGGATGAAGCATTCTTGGAGTTTGTGCCCAAAGTGGTACTGTTGGATGTTGAGCTTGTTTGACTCCCAGCTTCTTGAGAAATTGCCACACTGATTTCCATAGGGACTGTACATGTTTGCACTCCCACCAGCGGTGGATGAGTATTGCTCTTACTCCACACCCTTGTCTGCATGTGCTGTCTTTTGTTTTATTGATCCTGCCATTCTGCCTGTTGTTGAGATAAGAAAGACACACAGGGTATATATTCACTCATAAATGGATAGTAGACATATTATATAGGATAAACATACTAAAATCTGTACACCTAAAGAAACTAATCAAGAAGGAAGACTCTGGCTAAGAGGCTCAATCCCCTTTCAGAAAGGCAAAAAGGATAGACATCAGAAGAGGGAGAAAACAGGGAACAGGACAGAAGCCTGCCACATAGAGCCTCTGAAGGCCTCTACCCTGCAGGGTATCAAAGCAGATGCTGAGACTTATGGCCAACCTTTGGGCAGAGTGCAGGGAATCCTATGAAAGAAGTGGGAGATAGTAAGACCTGGAGAGGACAAGAATATCAGGACCAAAAAAAATCTAGACACAGGGGACTTTTCTGAGACTGATACTCTAATCAAGGACCATTCTTGGAGATAACCTAGAACCCCTGCACAGATGTAGCCCATGGCAATTCAGTGTCCAAGTGGGTTCCATAGTAATGGAAACAGGGACTGTCTCTGACGTGACTGATTGGCCTGCTCTTTGATCACCTCCCTCTGAGGGAGGAGCAGCCTTACCAGGTCACAGAGACAATGCAGCCACTCCTGATGAGATCTGATAGACTAGGATCAGAAAGAAGGGGAGGAAGACCAACCCCTATCAGTGGGCTGGGGAGGGGCAAGGATAGAGAAGGGGAAGGAAAGGTAGGATTGGAAAGGAAGGAGGGAGGGAGCTACAGGGGGGATACAAAGTGAATAAATTGTAATTAATTAAAAAAAATCCCAAAGTAGTTTGATTTACATTTTCCTGATTATTGAGGATGTTATGCATTCTCTTTTTAGTTCTGTGTCCCATTTTGTTTGTTGCTTGTTTTTTTTTTTTTTTTTTTTTTTTTTTTTCCTCCGGCTTCTTTTTTACTCATTTTCCTCCTTCCTTTGCCTCCTTCAACAAATTCTACTTATGTGCACCATCACAAACAGCCTTTACTCTATTTTTAACCTGGGTTATTTTCTTAATATAGATATTTTTTAGTTCTTTACATATTTCAGATGTTAACTCTCTATTGAATGAGTGGTTGGTAAAACTCTATTCCCATCTGTAGGGTGCCACTTTGAACAAAAGCTTTGTAGTTTTGTGAGCTCCAATTTATTAATTTTTGTTCTTAGTACCTATGCTATGTTCTGTTCAGAAAGTCTTTTCCTGTGCCAATAAGTTCAAGACTATTTCCCCAATTTCTTTTCTATCTGATTAGATATATTTGACCTTAAGTTGAGGTCTTAGATCCATTTGGAATTTAGTTTTGTGCAGAATGTTGAGTATGGATCTATTTTCATTCTTCTTACAAGCAGCCATCCGGATTGACCAGCATAATTTGCTGAAAACACTATTTTCCTTAATGTATTAATGGCATCTTTATCAAAAAACGACTGTCCATAGGTGTGTGAACTCATTTCTTGGTTTTCAATTTGATTTCATTGATCAACATATCTACTTTTGTGCAAAAAAAAAAATGCTGTTTTTATTACTATAGCTCTGTAGTTTGTAATACAATATAAGATGTTGAATAATGATGCCTCCAGCAGTTCTTATAAGACTCTGGAGTGTTTCAGCCATCTTAGACTTTCATTACTAATAACTGAGAACTCAGGGTGATTGTCACACTTGAAATCTATTTATAAATGTGTTGAAAGAAACTGATACAAATGAATATGTCCTTTGATATTTGAATTTAATAATATTCTGATGTTTTTCTACTTTCAGCAAGATCAGGACAAAATGAATGATGAAATCCAGAAGGAAGAGAAAATGTGGAAGGAAAAATACAGACAGCATCAGGTATATGTTTGTTGTTTTGTATTCATATACTGTTATTCTCCATTTGAAGTAAATTGTTATACTTTTTAAAATATTGAACATAGTAAGATAATGTTGCCTATATGGTATGGAATTTAACTTATTTCAATCTCAGAAATTTGTTAATCTTAGAAATATTCATTGAAGAAAAATATCCTAAAAATACAAAGGTAGCTCAATGACTGTATCTTTATGAAGTTGAAATTTAAAGTTTTTTAAGTTTTAATGTAATTGTAGTATTAGAAAAATTTCATAATATTTGAAGATCTGAAGAAGCATTATTGTATTTTGACACAATTACTTGAGTGTGTTAAAGAGTTTTGAATTCAAGGTAAGATGGTTATCATAAATATTTCATTTTACATTTTTGTTTGACCCCATAAATTTTATATAAATTTACCTAAGCATTTACAAACATAAAATAGATAAAATTTCCCATTTCAGTCTTCAATATAGAGTAGATAAGTTACTGTTTTTCAGTTGAATATTGCTTTCTTTCTTTATATTTCTTTTGAATCTTCTTCTGGTTATGCAGTCCCTGAAAATATAGGTCTGTAGTATATATGTATATAAGTCTGTCTATATGTATATATATATGTAAAATTCACTGTAAATATAATAGAAAAATTCATTTGAGTGAAAAGAAGAAAATACATAATTACAAATGACATGCCATTGAAATGTTTGATAAGATGGGTTATTAAAATGACCATAACTCTCATTCAGTAACCAAATAATTATACAACTAATGTATAAAGAACATTTAGAATCTATCATAAAGTACTAAGTGTATATTTTATGAAATTTAAATGTGAACATTAAAACTTCATGATTGAGTGTGACAATATATTGGATATATAATGAGGCATTTGTGAAGCAGAGAGAGTTTAACAGGAAATACATAAAGTGTTGAACAGAGAGGACAAGAAAATAGGCAAAGTAGAAGACTGCCTAGGAGACACCTGTGAAAGGATCTAATTCTTCATTAGAGTAATCTTGAAAGGAGAGAGTGTGATTCTGAAGACATGGGTAAGAGCATAATGATCAAGGGTGGTTGATTTCTTTCTTTTCTTCAATATTAATTGACTGATTGATTGATTGATTGATTTTTGAAACAGTATTTTTCTGTGTAGCCCTGACTGTCTTGGAACTCATTCTGTAGACCAGGCTAGCTTTGAAATCAGAGATCCACCTGTTTCTGTCTCCCTTATGCTGGGATTAAAGGTTCATGTCATCACCATATGACAAGGGGGGGGGGTTCAAATGTCATTTTAAAATGTACATTCAAAGATTGTGATTCTCAAGTAGCAATTGCTAATGTGAAAATCACACCTGGACTATGTAGTGCAATTACATTTGGGTCATAGAACTAAGGAAACTTTAGAATATAGGAATAACACATACTGTGTAAAGCATATAAAAAAATAAAACTAATTTCTTACTTCAAAAGTAAAATTAAGGAAGAACAACATAGCTATTGAATATCTCTATGACTCCATTACTCCTTCATGTTCATATCCTGTGTCTTTCTCTTTTCTGCATTCATTCAACATTTACTTCTGTCTATACTTATGTGTCAGGAAAATAATCTTTTAATATTTTTTATTTAATTTTTATTAATTACAGTTTATTCACTATGTTTTCCACCTGTAGCACCCTTCCTCCCTCCTCTTTAGCCATACCCCTTCCAGTCCATTGATAGGGAAGGTTTGAGTAAATTTCTCCAATTTTTACCCAGTAGAAAATGTTTTTACTTTAATTTATACTATATCTGAACATGAAATCCAAGCCTATTTCTATTACCTGTTGACAATTCAATAATATTTCATTGTAAATTTACTCATTTTAGTTACTGTAAAATTTATGCTTAACCCATACATTCTTTTGAAGCTTTAAGATTTTCACATTATGCATTAATCTTTTCATATTTAATCATTTTTTTTACTTTTTTAATTAAATTTTTATTTTTATATTAATTACATTTTGTTTACTTTGTATCCCAGCTGTAGTCCCTCCCACCTCCCCTCCCAAAACTGCCCTCCCTCCCCCATCTCTTTCTATGCCCCTCTGAAAGTCCACAGATAGGGAAGGTCCTCTTCCCCTTCCATCAGACCCTAGCTTATCAGGTCTTATCCGAACTGGCTGCATTGTCCTCTTCTGTGGCTTGGCAAGGCTGCTCCCCCATCCAGGGAGGTGATCAAAGAGCCAGCCACTGAGTTCAAGTCAGAGACAGTCCCTGTTCCCCTTACTATGGTACCCGCTTGGATACTGAGATGCCTTGGGCTACATCTGAGCAGGGGTTCTAGGTTATATCCATATATGGTCCTTGGCTGGAGTATCAGTCTCAGAAAAGACCCCCATGCCCAGATATTTTGGTTCTGTTGCTCTCCTTGTGGAGCTCCTGTCCTCTTCAGGTCTTACTATCTTCCACTTCTTTCATAGGAATCCCTGCACTCTGCCCAAAGTTTGTTTATGAGTCTCATTATCTGCTTTTTTAAAAACTTTTTAAAATTTTTTATTAATTACACCTTATTAATTTTGTATCCCCCCATAAGCCCCTCCCTTTTCCCCTCCCGATCCCACCCTCCCTCCCCTTTCTGCATGCATACCCCTCCCCAAGTCCACTGATAGGGGAGGTTCTCCTCTCCTTTCTGATCTTAGTCTATCAATTCTCATCAAAAGTGGCTGCATTGTCCTTTTCTGTGGCCTGGTAAGGCTGCTCCCCCCTCAGGGGGAGGTGATCAAAGAGCAGGCCAATCAGATTATGTCAGAGGCAGTCCCTCTTCCCATTACTAGGTAACCCACTGGGACACTGAACTGCCATGGGCTACATCTGTGAAGAGGTTCTAGGTTATCTCCATGAATAGTCCTTGGTTGGGAGTATGAGTCTCTGGGAAGTTCCCTGTGTTCAAATTTTCTTGTTCTGTTGCTCTCCTTGTGGAGTTCCTGTCCTCTCCAGCTCTTACTATTTCCCACTTCTTACATAAAATTCCATTCACTCTGCCCGACAGTTGGCCATCAGGCTCAGCATCTGCTTTGATAGTCTGCAGGGCAGAGGCTTTCAGAGGCTCTCTGTGGTAGGTTCCTAGTTTGTTTCCTGTTTTCTTCTTCTGGCTTTCAGAGGCCCTATACAATGCTGGGTAGAGTCCTCTGTGGTAGGCTCCTGTCCTGTTTCCTATTTTCTACTTCTTCCAATGTCTGCCCTGTTTGCCCTTCTGAGTGAGGATTGATCATCTTACCTAGGCTCCTCCTCCTAGTGCACCTTGTTAGGTATACAGATTTTAATATGTTTATCCTACATCATATGTGTAGTATCCACTTGTAAGTGAGTATATACCGTGTTTGTCTTCTGTTTCTGGGATACCTCTCTCAGCATGATCTCTTCTAGATCCCACCATTTGCCTGCAAATTTCATGATTTCCTTGTTTTGGAATGTAAACTTCTACAACCACTTTGGAAATCAATCTGGCACTTTCTCAGATAATTGGGAATAGCGCTTCCTCAAGATCCAGCTATACTCCTGGATATATATTTGGATATATACTCCTAGGCATATATCCAAAAGATGCTCAAGTACAGAACAAGGACATTTGTTCAACCATGTTCATAGCAGCTTTATTCATAATAGCCAGAACCTGGAAACAACCCAGATGTCCATCAATGGAGGAATGGATACAGAAATTGTGGTACATTTACACAATGGAATACTACTCAACAATATTTAATCATTTTTAAGTATGGGCCCAAAATTTTTGAGTGGCTATATGTTAAAAACAAAACAAAACACAACAAATCAAAAAACAGAAAGTAATCCTTGTTTCCATGGAGACTTCTGTTCTTTCAGAATATTTTAAAATGTGTTCTATGTATGTTGAGAGAGAGGGGTGTAAAGTTTACTCCGCTCTTTTATTTATTGTTATTGTCTAGAAATGTAGTTTTATATTGCTTTCAGCCCTTAATTTTCTTACATTTTTTAGTCTTAATACTTACTGGTCATATCAGTATTTTTGTGTTGATTTGTTTTATTCCTGATATCATATATTTCATATATTTGTTGATCTAAAAAAAAACACTTTAAAATATTTCTTTAGGCCAGCAGTCACCTAACCATTCCTTTTTTTTTTTTCTGATTTTTTAGTGGTCATAATTTAACACTTACTTGTTATTTTATGTAAAATTATTTTGGTGTATATATTTGTCTGAAAGGTTCCCTTCATGTTGAGAATTTAACCTAGTGTACAACTGTTTCTTCTTCCACCTTGTTGAATTTTACATGCTAATCTTCCTTAAATACTTACTGAATTATTTTGTCTGTTTACTTGTGTGGTAGAGTTCTAATGGCAATGTTTTTTTTTTATCTCACATATTGATATTAATTTATGTTTTTTTTCTAGCTGTCTTAAGACTTAAAAGGGATAAGGTATATGACTAGGCCAGCCCTTCCTCATGCTTGAATGCAAGGAACATCAGGACTTGTTGGTTGTAATTCCTATTCTCCATTACCACATCACCCATGAAAAGAAGCTTGAGACTCTTAAATGGATTTTGGCCTGTTTTTCCTTTAGTGTCTTCTGTGTCATCTTCATTTCAAATAATTCTGTCTGAATATAATTTCTTAATCAGTAACTCATTGGCTTATACCTTAAGAGTATTATGAACTTTCCAATGTGACGCAAATCTTATATGTATTTAGAAAGTTAATTTCCTATAAAATATGTGACTAGTTTTTCTCAGTGAATCTTATAGCAGTTTCACTCTACATTTGGGTTTTGTAATACCTTTTATATACTTATAGAATCACTGATTTTAGCTGATGCTTATTATTGTCTCTTACTTTATTTTAGGAACTTATTAGAAACTTAGATTTACAAATGGAGGAGGAAAGAACAATATTAAGTGAGCTGCAAGAAAAAGAAAAAGCACGTTTGCTAAACTTGAAGCATAACGCAGCTGTAAAAATTCAAGCTAAATACAGAGCATTAGTAACTTACCGAAAATATAGCCCACTCATAAAAGAGCAAATAGAAAATAAGAAAAGGAAAGAGCAGGAGTGGAAAGAGAGGGAAGCAAAGATCCGACAGAAGGAGGAAGAAAGAAGAAAAAGAATTAAAGAGGAACAGAGGCTAGAGGAGGAAAGAAAGAATAAGATAATGGAGGAAAAGCGAAGGCGAGAAAGGGAATATGAAGAGAAAAAGAGCACCCTGAGACAAGAGAGAGAACAACAGAACAAGAAAAAAGTGCGACCTAGAGAAGATTGCCGCCAACTTCTAATCATTAGCTGTGCTTTAAAGGAGGGAAAATGTAACGGCAAGCAGCAAGCTAATGCAAATATGTCAAAAAATAAGAGTGCTGAAGAATTGGTGGACACAAACTCAGAGCAGAAAGAAGATGCTTGTCTAGTTCAGCAATCCAACAAGAGAGAAAATGTAAATAAAGGACATAAACAGCTGACAATGAAAGAATCGATCGGAATAAAATTAAAACCAAGACAGACAGTTTTAGCAGAATTAAAGATGAATGAAAAATACGTAAATTCACCTAAGTTAAAAGTAGATGGAAAAAGTGAGAACATATCAAAAAAACAACGTTCAGAAAATGTAGCTATCCAAGAAATTAATTTTACAAATATAGACCAGACAAAAGAATTTAAAAACTCAGACCGAAAGGAAAATGTGAATAAAGACTGCCTGGAGCAAGAAGTAAGGTGTCAGACTCAGAAAGAGGAAAGTGGGGAGCATGCCACCACGGAGAATGCAGGGCAAGAAACCCAGGTCATGCCTGGATTCAATCCAGAAGCGAGCGAAGAGGACAATAATGAAGCACGGGAAATCATCAAGGAAAATCAAGAGAGACTGACTGAAAAGATAGGAAAAAGATCGACAATAGAGCAAGATGGATCATTGCACGAAGAGAATAGTACTTCAGCTACTGCCATGCAAAAAGACGCACAGTCACTAATACTAGAAAATCCTGAGCATGTAGAAAGAAATGTAATACTAGAAGACGAAGAGACCGACTTAAAATCAAAAAGAATTGAGGAAATGCCAGAAGACAGTGTGCGCAGCTCTGATGCTGTCTTTAACTCAGATGCCTCTGCGCACACAGAGGGCAAGACAGACCAGCAGTGCTCTGTCTCAGGCAAAGTCATGCCCAATGAAGAAACTGGTAGCCACAGTTCCTTGGTCAGTGAAGAAGAGGAGGACTCTCCTAAGTCTGAAAGTAAAGAAATTGTGGAACAATGGAAGCCAAAGAAGGATGAAAGTGACAGTGCCCTGACCTGCTCTGTGTCACAGATAACAGTTTTATCTTTCATTGAGGAAAGGAGACTAGCTTGGATAAAATCATTTAAACCTTGGCCTGAAATCTTTGAACAAAATCAACTCAAGAAAATCACCAAAAGAAAGAAACTCGTGAAGTGTCCAACAAATACAATGCCTCCTTTGGATTCATTAGCCATTCTCCAGCATGGCCCTTGGAATACTTTACAGCAGGTAGTTATGACTTAACAATAATATTGTTATACTGAATTAAAATTAACTGTCTGTAATGTCATTTTACCTTCATGATTTTATACATAAAAATTCTGCCTCTTAGTAAATTATTAGTGAAATACTAATGAAATATAGTTTCCTTTCAGAAGGCTTACATTTTTAAGCTCTCAAATAAAGTTTTTCAGGGCCTTGTCTATCTTAGCAATCCAAAGAGCTTTGACTTATAGTTTTCAGTGTCTTGAGCACTGATTCAAATCCCTGTAGGAACATCTGACAGTTATGGCTGGAATTAGATAAGAACACTTAGTGCTTTTGAACTTCCAGAGTTTATTCTAGATTAGGGTCTACACACTGTCTCCATTCACATGAAAATAGCTCCTTCCGTGAAAGAGGTGCTGACAGGATGGAAGACCCTGTATTTCCTGTATGGAAATGTTATTTAACCATATGCCATTTAATTGTAATACACAGATGCAGGAAACATGGCATAGTTTTCTTTAACTGCTACTAATTTTCTGTTGTAGAGAATACAACATCAACCAAATTTAAGACATAGAAATTGATGTATAAGGATATTTTGATTATACAGTGCTTCAATAAAGTTAACAATTTTTATTGAACTGTGGCTTGAAAGTCAAATATATTCTTTAAATGTTATTTTAGAGGCATAAAATTTTAGAGGCATATATTTAAATCTCAGTTTTATCATTATTATTTATTACAATTTATTCACTTGGTATCTTGGCTGTGGCCCCATCTCTTATCTCCTCATAGTCCCACACTCTCTCTCTCTTTTCCCTCTATGCCCCTCCCCTAGCCCACTGATAGCTGAGGTCCTCCTCACCTACTATCTGACCCTAGTCTATCAGGTCTTATCAGGACTGTCTGGGTTCTCTTTCTCTGTGGCCTAGTAAGGCCACCTCTCCCGGGGGAGGTTATCAAAGAGCCCCTGTTCTCATTACTAGGAAACCCATATGGCGACTGAGCTGCCCATGGGCTACATCTGAGCACAGGGTCTAGGTCTTCTCCTTGCATGGTCCTTGGTTGATTCATCAGTCTCTGAAGGCCCCTCTGGGCTCAGATATTTTGGCTTTGTTGTTCTCCTTGGGGAACTCTTGTCCTCTCCAGGTCTTTCTATATCCCCCTTCTTCCATAATATTCCCTGCACTCTGCCCAGAGTTTGGCTATGAGTCTCAGCATCTGCTTCAATACCCTGCTGGGTAGAGTCTTTCAGAGGCCTCCTGTCCTGTTTCCTGTCTTCTCCTACTTCAGATGTCTATCCTGTTTGCTCTTCTGAATGAGGATTAAGCCTTTTCCCTTGGGACCTCCTTGTTGTTTAGCTTCTTTAAGACTATAGATTTTAGTATGTTTATTCTATATTATATGGCTAAATCCACTGATAAGTGAGTATATACTGTGTGTGTGTTTCTGCTTCTGGGTTATCTCCCTCAGGATGATTTTTTCTAGTTCCATCCATAGAACTGGTACCTTTCTCTTCTGTCAGTTTCCATATGTGATGAGTAATTGTGTGGCTCAGTATCCTTAAATATTTTGTAGCATTTAAAATATAACTCTGAAGGTCTCTGGAAAACAAGTACCAGGATTTTTGTTATCTGAAATTTCTACTCTGATTCTATCTAATACTAGGCACCTGGAACTTGATTTTTAACTTCAAGGATGGTTGGGGTTCACCATGTCCAATCTATTCCAATACTTAAGTCAAATGCTAGAGGGACGCAGTGTCAGCTCAAATCTATACTGCATAAAACTGATTTAATTCAATTACTCACCACACATGGAAACTGACAGGAGAGGCACCAGTTCCATCTATCAATGTGAAGGCAAAGCAGCACCATGTGTCAGGGAGAGATCCAAAGGAACGCCTCTTTGTGTCTCAGTTGTGTATTGGAGGCCAGCTTCTGGCACCATGTCCTCAAGATGGAAAGGAAGGAAAACTACCAGTGATCTTCTGTGTGTCGCCAGCTCCTAAGACAAGTATGGCCCATCTTGTTCTCTGTGAGGGACCATGATTCTGAAGATTAAGTCACCAGAGGACACTAGTCTGTACATCATGAGGGTAGATGAGGCACGCCCTCTTTTTTAACAGGATGAGGCTGTGGACAGTGAGCCATTCACAAGTGGCCCCAGATCTTCATTAAAACACATTTAATGCTTTCGTGTCTTTTTTACATTTTATGTTTTGTTTGCCCTTATTAAAAAGAATGGCAAGGTATTGCCATAGATGCACAGTGGCCTTAAACTCATAATACGCCTGCCTCATTTTCCAAGTGCTGGGATCACAGGCCTCACAGCCATAGGTTCTAGTCCTTTGTAGTGCTTCAGGTAATATGCTACTCAAGTGTTCTCCTACCAAGCTACCCCCAGTACTATATACCATTTTTATATATATAGGTGCCAAGGAAATAAATGTATTAATAAATGATGCAGTATTTTATTCACTTGGTAAGTTTTCATTTGTTTAATATATTTGTTTCTTCTGTTCACACCCTGTTCTTTCTTGAGAACTCTTGTCAATTTCCACAAACGGAAAATTAACCCTGTTTACTTCTTTTATAGCAGTGTTCTCAATGTGGGGCTCCCAATCCCTTTTGGTGTCTCACATCAGATATCTTGTGTATCAGATACTTGCATTACCATTCGTAACAGAAGTAAAATTAGTTATCAAGTAGCAACAAAATAATTTTATAATTGGGGGTTACCACAACAGGAAGGATTCTATCTAAAGGGTCACAGCATGAGGAAGGTTGAGATCCACTCTTTTGGAGCAGTGCCTAATCATCTGAGGGTCTCATAAAATGCTAGGAAGGTCTTTTGTTCAATAAACTGAACAAACACTATCTTTTACTTAAGTCTCTGAAGTGATGTGGTTAGCATTGATGGGTAGGCTGATCTGTTTAGACTACCATATAGGAGTCTACCATACTTTCCCTGTAAAAGCAATTGATGCAAACTACAGTTTCCTTCAAAGCATCAAATACACATTATAAAAGTGAAAAATATGTGCTAATATGTTGTGGAAATACTAAAATAGTATCAAATGCCTGTTATTTTTTGTTTGTTTGTTTCCAGAAACTTTCTCTAATTTTCCTGTCGGACAGATAGCTAATTATTTTGTTTTGTTTAACCACTGCAACTTTCCTACTTTGATTTTACAGTCATTTAGCTTCACATGTCTGTGCTTATCCTAACCTCTAGCACCATCTTTGGAAGGTTCTTCTGAAAGTGGTGAGGGATAAAAGTGTACTTCTCCTTAGATTAAATTCAAGAATAATTTATAATTCAATTTCTAATATATTACAGCAATCTTAGGTCTTGCATATGAACAGAGAGAGAGAGACAGAGATCATCTAGTTCAGAAAATATGTGTGATTAAATGAAAACTAGTAATAATTATGAAGATAATGAAGTAGTCATAGTTGCTATAGGTTCATTCTCAAGCCAAAAGAGCTTGAGAACACAGACTTCCAAATGTTTTTATATTGTCCTTAAGAGGAAAAGTAAATATGAATGCTATAAATATATTTGAGTTTCATTACAAAATGACACAACTGATTTTTTTTTTTTATTTTGGACACATTTAGTCAAACATCTTCATTTCTTACCAAAGAGTTTTTGGACACATGATTACAAATTAAATATTGACTTTGAGTAATACAGAGCAATTTTAAGCATGTGATTACTATAACACATGTGTCAATGAATATAAACTCTTATTTTGATGTCATACATTTTAAAAATTTTAGGACAGGTATAGGCTATGTTCTAGTATCACAGAATTTTTTAATATTCAAAGAAATGGAAGGAATACTGTGAAACTGCTCATATGTAGTCAAAGGTGGGTGTCTCTAACAAGGTGCCAATATAACCTTCATTCATGGATTGTAATGACTTGAAACTACAGAAATTAGAGAGCTTGTCGCTTCATAAGTAACTCGACTTGATGAGTCTACAGTTGACTGAAATAGGCATGTTATCAAATAAAGCAAAATAATATGTTTTATGGCCAATCAACCATTATTATTTATTACATACCTGGCTGTAATTGTCAAATTTTGATTTACTAAATTCTCAACTTAAATGTTTTCATTTTCTAGTGCATGCCCACCTCTCTATAGAATTCATTGTTTGCATTTAAACCCAGTAAGTAGTGTATTTGTCATTGTTGCTTAAGTGGATGAAACCTTTTCATTCTGAAAAGAATGGAAAGGTAATTGGCTGCAAAAATAGTTTTAGGTAATGAATGCTTGATATACTCTGAGATGATTATGAAAGTAGAACCTTTGCTTACCCAAAGTTTAAAAAAATACATTATTACTAGTGCTGGCTAATCAAGAATTAAGCCAGATGTTGTCTGTTATCTCCCAATATATGTCTTTGTCAAAGATCCAGGGATCTCACAGCTACTACCAAACACATAGCATGGACCTCTATGCTCTATAATACACAGAAAAGTATTTCAAAGCCTAGAAAACAACAACTAAAATTTGCTAAAATGTAGGGAGAATATAAGGGGTTGTAATATTGCCTACATATGTGTTACCTTTGAGCTCGAATTGATTGTGAGTGATTACACTGATTTATCTTGCTACCCTGCAAGAAAAAGAGACCAGATAGCTAGACATACACTGAGTTCCTAATAAAGGTAGGACTCAATATATACAATTATTTAAGTGAATTTTTGAAGAGCTTTGAAAAGCTATTCTATACTGTGGTGTTCAACAATGTCACTTATCACAGTGTTCTTGATACCTCCAGGTTACAGACATCACGTTTCAGGATTTGCCTGGCTGTAGTCTCTCTACACTGGCAGACTATTCAAATCTTCAGCTGCTGTCTCTTCGACGCTGTGGGTTAACTTCCTTGCACAGCCTGAGCCAATGCCAAAACCTTAAGTACATCGATGTACAGGCAAGTTGCTTATTCTACAATAACTTCCCAGACAACAAAAATCAAATGGATTCATGCTTATATTTTAGAAATGATAATTCTGAAGAAGCTGTAAAATAGCTTGATACACGCATGAGGCTTAAAGCGAGCACCACGGGCCTAGGTTGCTGGGGACTGAATGGAGAAGTTATTGATCAGCTGAGCCAGAAATTGATGCTTTCATTTTGGAAGTGGTGTGACGAGTGTATAAACAACAACGTTCTTTAAAACGGCAGAAAAGGCGGCCATGTGAATTCCTGCTACTCTGAAGCCAGGTGGCTGACCATTTCATATTGTGTTGACTTGGTGTCTTCTATGATTGTCACATCTGCTTGAGAATTAAAAAAAAAAAAAAAAAAAACTTTTGATTTTTGCTGCCTTAACAAGGAGGTCTCAGATGTTAGACTATCTTGTGATTGTTCAAGGCTTTTTGTTGCCAAGACCGAGTGTTCAGCCAGACATGTGCCAGTGCATATAAGCGTCTGTTCACATCATGTAGCCCAGTGTTTCTATGGCTGCACTCTGAATTCATGTGGGAGGGAACCATATGTGTGCCAATATTTGGTTATGAGGTTTCGTGGAAAGTATCAAAGTAACGTTCCTTCACAACCTACTACCATCTGTCTTCTGATTCACATATAGAAAATAGGCTCATCAGTTTATGCCATTGGTTCAGGAACTTTGCATCTAAATCAGCATGTGGTAGAGGAACAGCTTCCCAGTGCACACGAAGAAATAATGAGGAGGCCAGGCTCAGTTAACCAACACCACATTTCCCATCTAAAAGTACCAGCAACATGATGAACAAATAATCCACTGTGTTCATTTGGATTGTTCAAAATATGTTGTCATATTGTCCTCTGTATTTTTTTTTAAATATTAGGCAAATGTATAAATAGCTAATTCTTTGTGTGATACTTAATTTTTTTCTCTGAATAGTATAGCTATTTGCATGGTTATTTTTATAACTTAGTGATTTATGTGTTGATTTAGACATTGTATCTCAACCTTAATTTTTTGAAAGGATTAAATATTACATTTATAAGACATTGAAATAAAATTATTGTGTTTGTTCTTTCTTTGCATTAGGAAAACCACATTGAGACTATCGATTGTGAAAATCTGGAAAATCTCTGTGTTGTTCTTCTTAATGAAAACCTGCTGACTTCTATTCATGGTTTTGATGGATGCACTAATATACAATGCCTTGAACTTTCACATAATAAGATCATGCGAATCAGTAAGAGCAATTTTAATATTTAAACATTTACTCTGCATGACTTTACTTTGTTTCATTCATTCATTTTTAATATTAGTCCCTCTAAGGCCTACAGAGATAATTTTGTTGGATAAAAGTTGACTTTCAAGCATGAACACCTTAGTTTGGTCTCCAGAACCCATGTAAAAAAATCCTAGGAAGCTGTGAGGGAGATGCCCAATGGGTAAAGTGCTTGCACTTCAAGCATTAGGACCTGTGTTTGGATCAGAGATTCTATCTAAATGCTGCACAACTGTGGGAACCTACCTGTAATCCCAGTCACCAAGGGAGGAGACAAGGGATCTTCAGTACAAGCTAGCTTGCAAGATTCGACTTCTCGGTGAGCTGCTCTCTCAGTGGATAAGATCCCAGAGCAATGCAGGATGATTCCCTCAACATCAGTCCTTGGCATTCACATACACATGCACGCACAGTGTTTTAACATGGATACAGCATGCACACTACACACACATGTGCGCACACGTGCATACACATGAGAAATGAAAAACAAGTCACTCGTAGGAGTGATCATTTGCAGTGTCAGTGTCAAGGAGGCAAAGACATTCAGATTCTTGTGCCAACCTAGACTAAACAGTGCATTACAATACAATGAAGACACACATCATAAGAGCGCACATGTGCACACACGCACACACACACACACACACACACTCCTTGATTTTACTCTTTTATACCTACTCTCTTCAGTAATTACCTTTGTGCAAGGGGAAAGTTGGATTTAGATAGTATCCATCAGCCATTGCCCTCTATTTCATGTTGGGAAAGAAAAACATCTTTGCTTTTCAAGACCATCTATTTTTTAATCGTCTTGAAGGGTATACTTTTAAAATATGATTCCCTCATTTTCTGGTCCTATGTTCATCTACCACATAATTTCAGACCACCAATTGATTTTTCCAAATGGAAAAACTGACACTGTTGCTTAATTTTGTTTTGAAATTCTAATGCAAGCACACATAAAAGTAGTGAATTTTTTTTTAATGAAAGTAATCGCAGTAATGTATTACTGTGTGGGCACACACTATAGTATTGGAGTGAAGTTAAAAAGCAAAAACCAAGCTGTTGTTTTTTTTTTTTTTTTTTTTAAATAAAAGTAGTGGCAGAATTGCTATTTTTATTGGCAGTGGTCCTTTGTGAGAATTTGTATAAGCAATGGATTTCCTGGGACAGGTTATCTATAAGATTTATGTGAAAACTGCCACAGCTCTAATGGATGTGCCTGAGGTATCTCTGTAGTACAGAGCAAACAAGGCTAAGATGTCTCTGCTGTCTGCTGCTATACTGAGAAGGTTGTATTTATTGAGTGTGAGGAGACTGCACATTTGCAAGTGCTTCCTGACAACTAGTGGAGTCTGTTTCTCATCTCTAGGAAAAGCTTAGAAATTCTGGTCAAGCTACGTAAAAAGACAGATTTTGTCATTTAGGTGAAATATTACTCTTAACAACTCTCAGAGAGGAGCACAAAAAATTGTGTAGTATTTATAAGTCAGCAAGTTACAATTCCACTGTGTAATATTTCTTAAGGAGGTGAAGTAAAATTGGCAGGAAAACCACGCTATTTTACATTTTTGTTTCAAATTTACCTAGTTGCCAGTGCTTTGCTAAGCCCCCACCATCTTTGCTGCAGTCACTCTAACTAATCTTTACATTAGAAAATTCCATTTTTAGGGCTTGAGAGATGGCTCAGGGGTTAAGAGCACTGGCTGCTCTTTCAGAGGACCCGGGTTCAATTCTCAGACATACATGTGGTCAAAGACCAGTGCACATAATAATAAATAAAGTTGTTATTTGACCATTCTTCTTAGATGTAACTGGACAAGAATAATGATCTTCCTATTAATCTGGCTCAAGCAATTCATTTGAAATTAAAATTAATTCACTACAAATTAAATAACACAATATAATAACTAGAAACACTACAAAGTGCTTAGATTAATTTCAAAATATGAGATACTTCTTAAAAAGTAATGGTAAATTCAAGTGACAAAGCAGATTTTTTATCGTTATTGAATTTGATATTTAAGTGTATTTATATGTAGTAACTATGATAACATACTTTTTCACTATCATAATTGAAATATACATTTAATTGTGAATTGAATGGCAGTGATAAGATTTCTGCATAACAAAGTACATATTATTTTAGTCAATGAAGTGAGTATGTAAGCACAATTTTTGGAGTAAGTGCTTTTGTACAAATTGTATAGTGATCTAAAATACACTGTTTATGTTTTTATATCACTAGGAACACTTGGAACTGTTTGTAAAGACATTTCCATTGAATTGGAATTCGACATAATCTGGAGTTATTTGTGAACTTTTAACAAAAGCAGACAAATTCTTACTGCTCACGTTATTTTTAGAGAATTAATTTTTATCACACTCATCATTTGCTTATTCTTTTATTATTTAAATTGTGTTTTCTTTTTCTTGAATTTTCTATTCGTAAGTTTAAATTGGTTGGCCTGCAGTTAAATGAGATGTTTTGGTATGATTTGTATAATTGGTGTCTCCTTTTACCTAAAATTGGCAAAACTTTTGTTTTCAATTTGTGAGATGGAGAAATATTTCTGGAGTGAAAGTTTGTGACTGATCCTTAAAGTTTCAAAAATTGTCTTACAGAGAATCTTTAGACTTTGAGTTGTCTTGGAATTGTCTTCCTTTAAAAATAGGTAATGCTAATGAAAACCAGGTAATTTATAATCGAATATTCTAATTTTTTTTTCATTTTCATCTTGGTTCTTAATGACTTCAACAGAAACATCAAAATAACTGTGTTTTACAAAAAAGAAAGGTTTCTAGGTCTCATTTACAGAAAAACATATTCTAATGTAAGAGAAATAGGGAGCCTTTGCCTAAACAATTTAGTCATGTTCAATTCACTTGCTGCTCATGTAGATACTATAAAGTAGGTACAAATGAATTTTCTTTTCCTACATGCACTTGAGAAAATCAAGTCCCAGATACTGGAGGAAGCCAGTTGAAATTACTCTGCTGACAAATGATGTTTACAGGATTTGATATTTGGAATTTACTCTATTACCTTATTTTAAAATTGGTGGGGTTTTATGAGATTATATATAATAACATCTTACATCTGCAACATATCTCTTGAACCTAAAGCTCAGTCATTGCGAAAGACATGACAGAAATATATTAACTTTTCTTCCAAAAGAGATATTTGAGTTATTTTTTAATTTCTTTCTTCCTTTTTATTTATTACAATTTATTCACTTTTTTCCCCAACTGTAGCCACCCCCTTGTCCCCTCCCAAACTCACCTTTCCATCTTTTTCTACTCCCATTCCACTCTCCAAGTCCACCGATAGAGGAGGTCCTCCACCCCATCCCTATGACCCTAGTCTATCAGGTCTCATCAGGACTGGCTGCATTGTCTTCCTCTGTGGCCTGGCAAGGCTGCTCCTCCATCCGGGGAGGTGGTCAAAGAGCCAGCCTCTTGAGTTCATGTCAGAGACAGACCCTGTACCCTTTGCTAGGGTACCCATTTGGAGATTCAACTGCCATGGGCTGCATCTGTGCAGACATTCTAGGTTATCTCCATGAATGGTCATCGGTGGGAGCATCGGTCTCAGAAAAGACCCCTAGGCCCTGAATTTTTTGTTCTGTTGCTCTCCTTGTGGAGCTTCTGTCCCCTCCAGGTCTTTCAATCTCCCCCATCCCCCTTTTTTCATAAGATTCCCTGCACTCTGCCCAAAGTTTGGCTATGGGTCTCAGCAAGTGCTTCAATACCTTACTGGGGTCTTTCATAGGCCTTCTGCGGTAGGCTATTTGAGTTATTAATGCCATGAAGTCTTGAGTCCACTAGATGGCAATAATTCACCTTTTGAAATGCACACCGCCTTGGTTTGTTGTAAAAAGGGATTGCCCAGGGTTTGTCCGTGGAGAAAAGGCTGACCCTAGGTTTTTGCCTGATTCATGACAAAATTATGGCAAGTATCCATAGTTTGTATAAGTTCCCCGACTCCTGTTTCAGTGTTTTTCTTTCTATACTTTATTTATAATGCTTGAGGACTTTGAACTGAAACTGAAACTCTTTTTTCCTTTTTATTTTTTTTTCTTTTCCATTTAGTTCTTTGTTCACTTTAAATCTCAGTATTAGCCCCTTCCCTCCTCTCCTCCTGGTCCACCCTTTCCACCTCTCCCTCATCCCCGAATTGGCCTTCCCTCAGAAAAACACCCTCCCTCCCTCCAAACACCTACTCCAGCATATCTCATCAGGCCTCTTTCTCAGTGTCCTGGCAAGGCAGTTGAAATTAAAACTCTTAAGCTCAGCTGAGCTATGTGTAGGTATGGATGAAAAGTTCCTGGACATAACCACCTTTGAAAAGCTGAAAAAACTCAGACTTCAAATTTTCTTGTTCTGTTGCTCACCTTGTGGAGTTCCTGTCCTCTCCAGCTCTTGCTATTTCCCACTTCTTACATAAAATTCCATTCATTCTGCCCGACAGTTGGCCATTAGGCTCAGCATCTGCTTTGATAGTCTGCAGGGCTGAGGCTTTCAGAGGCCTCTGTGGCAGGTTCCTAGGTTGTTTCCTGTTTTCTTCTTCTGGCTTTCAGAGGCCCTCTGTAGCAGGTTCCTAGGTTGTTTCCTGTTTTCTTCTTCTTCTTCTTCTTCTTCTTCTTCTTCTTCTTCTTCTTCTT